TATATATGTAATATCAAAGCAATTGGACTTGCGGTTTTCAACAAGAAGTCGAAATTATCACTTTTTACCAAAAATGACAAAAATATTCACCAAAATTAGAGAATTAAAGATATCATTACAAAATGAACAAATCTGAGAAAGGTCTACATGTAGTACCTATACATGTAATATCAAAGCAATTGGACTTGCGGTTTTTAACAAGAAGTTGAAAATATCACTTTTTATTATAAATGACAAAAATATTCACCAAAATTAGAGAATTGAAGATATCATCATGAAATGAACAAATCTGAGAGAGGTCTACCCAAGGTACATATACACCAAGTATCAAAGCATTCAGGCTTGTAGTTTTCAAGAAGAAGTCGAAAAAGTAAAACATTGACACGGACAACGACGGACAATCACTCATATGATAAGCTCCGCTCGACAAAGTCGACAGCGGAGCTAATAAAAACTAATGATGTAGTTGCTGACTGATACATTGATATAGTTATATATTTAAACAAAATTTTACACGGAAAATACTGGCAATAATTTTATCATGAGTAAATGCTCAAGAAAATGACAAGGAAAATACTGTAAAACATGTTTAAATAGCTACATGCCATTTTAGAGAATTTGACTCCATGCATGAATTAACTGAATCTTAATTTACCAAAAGTGCCAACAATCTCATTGTGAGAATATACTTTATTTTAAATTAGTGACATCTTGAAATAGCGAAATTACAGATTAGCTAAATTAGTTAAAATAATATGCTAGCTAAAAAGTCTTGTTTTACAGTAGTCCCTTTTACAATAATATAACATGAATTGTATAAAAGTTCCTAAATGGTAGGTCAATATATCTATAAGCAAGTCTTGGAAAAAGTTATTGGCCAGTGATTCTGCAGGTAAAATGTCAATTTATTTGCCAGGGAATGTTTATACATGTACCTAATGAAAATAATTTATCAGGTTACTGATCTACAATCAGATCGAAAAGGACATATGACTAACATCTGCATCTGACTCTCAAGATCAGTACAAGCGTCCTCATTACGTGCACACATTTCTATGTCTGACAAAAGTTTTATTTTAGCCATATTTCAATTCACTACTTGAAAATTATATATGCCAGTCACATCAAAATTGAGCTTGGTGCAAATTTTGAAAATGATCAAATAAATACTGTTTGAGTTATTATAACTACAAGAAAAATTGAAGTGAATTTTCACCAATATTTTGAAAAATATTGCATGCTCTCCATGTGAAATTGAAATTGAACTTGATCTTGATCAAGAGCAAATTTTGAAAAAAATAAATTCAAAATTTGCCACATACACTTCAATGAAGCAAATTATGAACGGTCACTTCATACTCGATCCCTGGATTCAGACCATTCACAAGGCCATAACTGCTGACGTATAATTTCATACAAGCTAGGAAGAATGTTAGGCAGATGAATTTATGCAGTCACGTTAACGATTAGCTTCAGAAAAGATTGTTGCACATATTAACAACCTGGAGAACCAATCAACTTTGTAGAACAGCACAGCAGTAGAGCCGCATTGACGGAAATCGTTGATAACCACTACCGACATTTCCTCGTTCATACAAGGTCACGTGTAAATTTGCATAATTATTGGATTCTGTGCCCTAATTTGTAAAGTTATTGGATGCTGAAAATGTTTGCTTTCTGAAGCTCCATAAGTAATAGTAGTAGATGTATAATATTATAACAGTACTATATTATGAGCCTGAATGGTTCCTACAATGCAGTCAGAATTAACTTACCTCCAACCTGTAGTTCAATCGTCTGCCAATCAGATGGGACGTCTCCTAACAAACCACATGAGTAATTGCCAGCATCATCAAATGCAACATTTGTGATAGAAATCTGTGATATATCAGCTGTTATAGATATGACTTGGTTTGAGTCTAGATATTCTTGGTTAAAATACCATTGAACATTTAGAGCTGACGGTGTAGAGGTTGTACAATTTATAACTATGGTCTCACTCACACTGTAAATGGTCTTCTCAGAAGATATACTCACTTTGGCATGAACAAAACAAACAAAAAATTAAAAAAAAACAAAAACATTTTTTGAGTACTTTAATACTTGGGGCTAACATACTGTAAAATACTTTATTTTCAAACATATTCATGTTTGGGACTACATGACAGGGCTGTGTGACCATCTCTCTGTCAAATGGCAATTTGTAATGCGCTATCCTGGCGTCAACTAGGCTCGGTCGAACACAAGCACCTGCGGACCTTAACCAAGGTCGCATTCGTTAGTGAATGAATCTCGGCCAGTGGAATTAGCCTTCCCATTGAGTCTGTGGCACACTCGCCCAGGGTAGGGGTCGACCCTTTTTAATGTTCAACCTAAAGGTAGGATTTGAACTTGGGTCTACCGATCACGAGTCTGATGCGACAATCTGACAAAACTTAACCTTTTCACACCAGACTATCTCGTCCCAAATTTGTCTGCACTTTTTTTTTATATTATTCAAAATTGCTGGAAATGAACTATAATTTTGAACTCAACAGAAAAAATTTTACGAAAAAAATTATAAGTTATATTTCTGTTTTAGTATTTAACCCAAACTATATTTACAAATACAAAACCATATACAGTGAAATTCATGAAGACATGAATATTTTTTTTCATAAAATAATTAGAAATGTTTTATAAATTTCTAATGATGGTTGAAAAGCACTTGACCAATCACAACAATGGATACATGACAGTAAATCTGCCAATTACTGAAGGGAACTTACAAAGCCAATGAAAGCGTATTCTTTGGATTTCAATAAGCACAAAGGTCTTGCAGGGTATTAAATGCATTCTAAATATGTTATAAATTGCAATCCAAAGCATTCATGTCTTTATGAAAATCACTGTGTAAGAAATGTCAAATTGCATTGATAATAAAGTATTCTATTCTCTGTACTGAATATTTATACTCACCAACATTTCCCTGTGTGAACTGAAGCAATAGAATGAAACTAAACACAGATAAATACAGATACGAAATAAAAGCAGACATCTTGTTCCACTAAACGTTGGAATCACCTGATCTGTAAAAGTAAACAATGAGAACACATGGTGTAAATACAGTAATAACTACTACGTGTATACAAATACAAATATTATTAAAACATAGTTGAACTCTGGTGACCTTGCCCTTTGTTATATAATATAATTCCCTTTAACATAGTTTGTTTCAATATAAATATACATTGACATAATTAATTTTGAATACAAAAAAGTTTTGGGGTTGAACTAACAGTGGGGAATCAGTCTACCGAATGTCCTTTAAAGATGTAAATATCTTACAAAAACATTTGTGCCTTATTTGTTTAATTATTTTAAGGGACATAATTTCCAGCTTTATTCAAAGTAATTCAGATATTTTAGTATAAACACAAATGCCTCATTGCAAAAAAAAAGTGCTGCATTTAGACGTGAATAGATTCATAAAACATGCAAGATAACAGAAAATCTTAGCTCGCTTTTGTCCAAGTATTTTGTACAGGTGTCTGTCAAAAATTAATGATTCACCGAGACAAATATGAACTGCCTCATTGTGTGACTACTGTATTATATGAAAAGTAAAAAAAAAAAA